GAAAAAGAATTACATGTACCAGTGTTCAACTATAGAGGAAAAATATAGTAAATATAGTAAAATATAGTAAATATAGTAAAATATAGTAAAAACTGCAGAAAGCAGAAAGCAGAAAATAAAATTTTCACTGAAGCTAGCATGATTATTACTAAAAGTATTTTGGGAAGGGAAGAGGAATAGAATAAACAATTATATAGTGCCTACCATGTGCCAACCACTGTGCTAAGCAATTTTACAAATATTATCTCATTTGATCCTCACAACAACCCTGTAAAGTAGGTGTTATTATTGTCCTCCATTTAATAGTTGAGGACACTGAGGCAAACAGAGGTTAAGTAACTTGCCTTGGGTCACACCACTACTAAGTATCTGACGCCAGATTTGAACTAAGGTCTTTCTGACTCTAGGCCCAGAGCTCTATCCACTGCACCACCAAAAGTATTTTTTAGTAGAAAGAACTAAAGATTGGTTATTTTGGCAACAACAAAATAAGTCTTTTACTATTCTAACCAAATTTACCATTCAGAGAAGAGCCAAGATTATGATCTCCTACTTTATGAGTGGAAAAAATGGAAACAAGTGAAATGACCTTCCTCTCATCACAAGGACACATAATACAGAATATTCTAAAGCAGAAGTCAGGGTCTCACATAGGGACCATATTTTTAAAAATATAAGAGATTCAAAACAACTTTTGAATTTGTAAGAAGTATTGTGGCATAGTAGAAAGAGCACTGGGTTTGGGATCAGAGGACATACTGTCAAATCTTACTTTTGCCACTTATTATTTGTGTAACCTTGGTCAAGTTAGTCTCTCTGACCTCTTTCCTCATCTATAAAATAAGCTGGTTGAACTAGATGACTTAAGTCCTGGAAGGAAAAACCTACATATCATGATTCAGGATATATATCAAAAGTTTTATTCAGGAACACATAGCTATGGGATGGGGGTGGGGGGATTCAGAAGGAAGAATTCCCCACAACTGAACACACAGTAACCTTTTAAACAATTTTCTTTGCCTTTAGTTAGCCTATGGGGCAGGCCAACTTTTTTACCTCAGAAACAGAACCAGAACAAAAGACAAAGTCTTGCCCTTTATTTGTGGTTGGCCATGGTGGGGGGAGGGGAGAGGAGGGTGTTACATGTGATAAAAACAAGGGATGGAGAAGCATATAAATGAAGAAGTCACAAAGCTCACTTTGCTTGAGCTGGAAGCTAAGACAAAGTCACTCATGTTAAGAAAGACCTTTCTGTGCCTCCACATTCCCCTGTCTGATGCTTTAATAATTTTACTCAATAATATTAATTTCCAATAGCTCCATAAATGCAGAATCAGTACCAGAGGTCCTGGGAGCAGAAAAGCATTAAAGGAAAATAGTTGAATGGTGCTGCCAGCCCATGAATGGCAGAACAACCTGGTCAGAGACCTGGAAACCTGCAGGACAAGGAAAAATACTAAAGAACAATGAGTATAAAAATGAATGCTTGAATAAGGTTGTAGACCCAGGATGTGATGGCTAAGTCAGGGAACCCAGGGATCAGGGTCCAATTTATATATCTTCAGTTGCCAAGTAGTAAAAGGAGGGCAAAAGGTCCAAACTAGTCAACATAGGTACAGCAGCAGATATTAACTAGGTTATAGACTCTACCCTGAGAATCAATGTATAGATCTAGAGCTACCCTGCTATTGACAGAAAACAAGTAAAGTGTTGGATTATGGGTCTGAAATGCCTACAGAGAGTTGAAAGTAATAGAGAGGCAGAAAGGGATATTTGTTCTAAGATTCTTTTCCTTGGCCCCAAGGGGGCACTGAGATGTCTAGTTCCTCAGGTGTGTGAGCTCGTTTACAACGTGATGTGTGGATCCATGTTTGGTGGTCCTGGCTGTGTTGATGGTCAACAGAATCTGAAATTGTTCTTTCCAGTAAAATTAAAAGGTATTTTTCCATGAACAGTCTTTATGTAAACCCAATCTCCTGAGGAAAGGTTGTGGCATGAGGTTTCAGGCAGTCAGGCAGAACTTCTGAAAGCTCTTGGTGTAGAGACAACACATTTTGTTAATACCTTACAGTAACTCAGCATGAGTTCATCTGTTAAATGAAAATTTGTTTGTTATGAAATCTAGCTGACATTGACTTAGTATATGCCATAAGGGTATCATATATGTCCATGACTTCTGTTCTCAGTGTCCTCAATGTCCATGAGAGTGATAAGAACCCCAGGTCACTAAATCCAGTTTCAGGACAAATCTTAGCTATTTTATTCTTTTCTTTTCTTTTTTTTTTTGCCAAAGCATCAAAGATCTAATTTACTTTTTTCTTTTTTTAATTATTCTTTTTTCAATTTTTTATTAATTTATTTTGATTTATCAATAATCACTTCCATGTGTTTTTGAGTTTAAAATTTTTCTCCCCCTTCTTCCCCACCACCCTCCCCAAGACGTCACACAATCTGATACAGGCTATACATTTACATTCCTATTAAACATATTTTCACATTAGTGATGTTGTAAGTTAAAATCAAAACCAATAGGAGGAACCAGCAGAAAGTGGGAACAAAACTCAACAGAAGAGAAAAAAATAGCAATTCAACTTCCATAGTTCTTTCTTTGGATGTGGACAGCATTTTCCATCACAAGGCCTCTGGAGATGTCTTAGATGCTTGTATTGCTGGGAAGGGTTAAGTTTATCAATATTAGTCATCGCACAAAGTGGCTGTTATTATGTACAACATTCTCTTGGTTCTGCTCACTTCACTCAGCATCAGACCATACAAGTCTTTCCAGGTTTTTCTGAAGTCAGCCTGTTCATCATTTCTTATAGCAAAATAGTATTTCATTACATTCACATACCACAACTTGCTCAGCCATTCCCCAATGGATGGGCGTCCTCTCAATTTCCAATTCTTTGCCACCACAAAAAGAGCTGCTATACATATTTTTGTACATGTGGGTCCTTTTCCCATTTGTATGATCTCTTTGGGATACAGCCTTAGAAGTGCTATTGCTGGGTATGCACATTTTTATAGCTCTTTGGGCTAAGTTCCAAATTGCTCTCCAAAATGGTTGGATCAGTTCGCAACTCCACCAAAAAAGTATTAGTGTTCCAATTTTCCCACATCTTCTCCAACATTTATCATTTTCCTGTTTTGTCATGTTAGCCAATCTGATAGGTGTGATGTGGTACCTCAGAGTTGTTTTGATTTGCATTTCTCTAATCAATAGTGATTTAGAGCATTTTTTTCAGAAGACTATAGATGGCTTTAATTTCTTCATCTGAGAACTGTCTGTTCATATCCTTTGACCATTTATCAATGGGTATAAGAATACAATGGCTTGTATTCTTATAAATTTGACTTAATTCTCTATATATTTTAGAAATGAGGCCCTTATCTGAGAGAATGGTTGTAAAAATTCTTTCCCAATTTTCTACCTTCCTTTTAATCTTAGTTGCATTGGCTTTGTTTGTGCAAAAACTTTTCAATGTAATGTAATCAAAATTATCCATTTTGCTTTTCGTAATATTCTCTATCTCCTGTTTGGTCATGAATTCTTCCGTTCTCCATAGATCTGACAGGTAAACTATTCCTTGCTCTCCCAGTTTGCTTATAGTATCAGCCTTTATATCTCAACCATGAACCCATTTTGACTTTATTTTGGCATATGGTGTGAGATTTTGGTCTATGCCTAGTTTCTGTCATACTCTTTTCCAGTTTTCCCAGCAGTTTTTTTTCAAAGAGTGGGTTCTTATCCCAGAAGCTGGGGTCTTTGGGTTTATCAAACAATAGATTACTATGGTCATTGACTACTGTGTCTTGCATATTTAACCTATTCCACTGATCCACCACTCTATTTCTTAGCCAGTTAGCTATTTTATTCTTAAGAATTCCATTTCATTGCTCTGCTACCCCTCTAGACACAGGGCAAGGTGAGCAGTGAAAATGCTGCTGAAAGCTTTGTAAATTTCTCTTACAATCTATTCTGTAAAATGGTTGCCTCTTTCACTACTATTATAAAGATGGATCAAACCTTAAAATATCATGTAAATGTTAATTATTATTAGTATTATTAGCAAATCTAAGAATAAATTCTTCTAAAAGTCTTTTAGTAACTATAAAAATACCTGCCTGTTTACATAAAACTTCAATCCATCCTGAGTATAAGTAAACAGCTATAAAAATATATATTCAAAAGAACATTTTGGCATTTGAGACATTTTCTGTAATAGAAGAACATACTGTCATAGAGGGGAAAACATTAAATTGTTTTTATCATAACATTAAATTGTTTTTATCAAGTTCAAGTCTAAAAGTTAGAGTTATATATGTGGATACAATACTTTCCCCAACTCTTATTTGATAATGAGAAAAGGTTAGAGGTATTTTAGAAGTAGTCAGTCAATAAATATTAAACGCCTCCTATGTCCCAGGTATGCTAATCACTGGTGATAGAAAGGCATAAAACAAAAAACAAACAAACAAAAACAGTCCATGGTCTCAAGGAGCTCACAGTCCAATAGGAGAAAGAATACACAAACAACTATGTGCAAACAAGATATATGCAGGATAATCAACACAGGAAAGGCATTACCAGTAAGGGAAATGGGAAAGGCTTCTTACAGAAGATGAGACTTTGGCTAACACTTGAAGGAAGCCAGCGAAGTCAGAAGGCAGAGATGAGGAAGGAAAAAATTCCTGGCATAAGGGTCAGTCAATGAAAATGTTCAGTATTCAGAAATGGAGAGTTGTACGGAAAAAAAGCAAGAAGGCCAGTTTCATTGATCACAGAGTACATGAAGGTATAAGAAGACTGAAAAGAGCAGAAGGAGTCAGGTTATGAAGGGCTTTATAAGACAGAGGTTTTATGATTGATCCTAGAAACAACAGGGAGTCACTAGGGTTGACGGAATAGGAAGTGAAATATTCAGACCTGTATTTTAAGAAGATCAATTTGACAAGTGAGTGGAAGATGTATTGAAGTGGGAAG